TCAATTGTTAATATCCGTAATCTTGGATGACTCAACTCATAGATTTCCAATCTGTAAACAACTTTTCAGACAATGAACATTAAAGCATTCAATGTGATTATTACTACTATGCATGTCTCTGTTGCATGTTTGATAGCCACAGTAAAGACAGAAGATGCTACATAAATCTTCATTTCGTCAACAAAAATATCATCATGCTTAATAAAAAATGAAATATGTTTTATATAACTGGTAATTTTTTAACATTATTTTTAGATAAATAAATTTCAAATATTTCAAACAATAAGATTAAAAAAAAAACAATAAATTATCATATAATTGGAACAGCTTACCCCTAAACTCCATATTAGGTATGATTACTTTTTCACAGATACTACTCAAAACAGTATCGTCTTCAAATAAACTTCTATATTTTGCCCGTTCTGCTACTGACGACAAAAATTGTAGAGCATTTGAAACTATCTGAAATGACCAAATTAAACATTTTCTTTCGGTTTTCGTTAAATTATTTATTTTCAAGTATCTTAGGAATGTATCCAATTGTTACAATAAGTCCTCACCAGATCATATTTAGGTTCGAGACCGGTTCCAACTAGAAGGCTCCAAGTATCAGTCACAAACTGTTGCAGAAAAGGTTGAAATTCTTCATCATATTTTTGAGCATACAGAGCAATGTTATCACATACTTGAGATTTCAGTTGTTCAATAACTCCAGCTTCTTCACTGTTCTAAAATGCAAAAATCCATCTTACCTTTATAATAATGTTACATGTATATCATTAAATGTATACTTACATTATTTTGAAGACTTTTTACCTCTACAGTAAGCAAAGTGTGAAAATTTGACATCCAAACTTGAATATTATCTTCAAAGAATTCTGGTAAGTCTTGGAAATTTAAAGAATAAAACACTTTGCATATGAGAACTAAAGAACTATAGATTACTTTCAATGCATTTACATCATTGGCATGAGTTTGGGAAAGGTTTATTGTTGCCTAAAAAAAGTTGGTCCAGAATTTGTTCATGAAATCAAAGGGTTGAAATGACTTACAATGAAAAGATCGGTAAGAGGTTGCGCTATTTTCTCAAGTACATATTTTATTTCCATCCACAGTTTTTGAGATTTGAACTCGTATCTATACTTTTTGAAAAGAGAATGTGCTGTTCGAAGCACACCATTAATCACATTGAAGTTGCCTTAAAAATGAATAATCAATCACAAAATTTTAATATAGATTTTTTAATTATCT